GATGTTAAAATGCCTTGCAACTGGCTGGGGAGGATGCAGGCAGATGGTTTTCTTGGGCTTGTAATTAGCCTAACCAGTGACCTTTACTAATTTTTTGTGTTCAAATCACCTGAAGTCGATTAGATTTAAAAGACGCCCTAAGGACATGATTGAATAGTGTATTAAAATATTTGCTTTCTCAGACAATAGTGATTTTGTTGAAAATATTTTAAGAATTCAAATTATACTTGGGTCTGCGTGGAAGGCTAGAAAATCCTCTCTACCGGATTGTTGCTCTCAGTATACCTTTGAAATCTCAGTATACCTCTTTGTAACTGCTTCTTGAAGACTTAATCTTACACAACCGACTGCTGCATGCCTTGTATGTTGACAATAAGTAGAACAAAAAACAATCTGGCCAGCAGGGCCTGAGAGCTGTGCTAGGGTTGGCCTTGAGGCCACCAGCTGTTCTAATGAGATGAGGCTGCCCATCCCAAAATCTGGCTGAAGAAAAAAGTGGCACATCTCAACTGTTGCCTGACCCCACATGAAACAAATGAATCAACATTCAAAGCTTCAGGAAAAATCAGTAAATCAGTATTCTCGCCACTTAAGCATTCCAGAACGTTTTTATGTAAACCAAGCCGACTTGTATTATATTGTTATCTGATTTTGATTCTTAGAGGGATACAACTTCAAAAAGTTCTTCACAGTATTTCAGTGCATTTGAAAGTTTAGAATCTCATTTCTACTGGTCATTGAAAATATTAGTTATATTACATGTGAAGTAGTTACGTCTTCTGCGCTTATGCTACAGAACAGCAGTAAGGGCTGAAGGGGAGGAATATTAAGAACATGATGGCCCCGAAGGGAGTTTTCCATCTCTCTTCCCTCTCACAGTCCTGTTAATCTGTGGCAGCAAACAGCCTTTGCTAGATTCCCTGCCATTCTCCTTGATATTTTTAAACGATGCTGAAGCTCCATAGGGTTCGGTACTCCTAGTCTTATTTTACAAGAACAAAGACCAAACCAGATGGCTTTCACCTGCTGTTCCTCATTGACAGGCACAACTTAAAATATTTCAGTGTCATATACTGGCCATATGTTTTCCTGTATTGTCCACGCAAACAATTATCTTTTGTGCACAGAGATGCCCGATTTATTTTAAACTGTGGAAGTAAATGCTCTGATCCACTTCCTTCTTGCTCTTTTTTTTTTTTTTCCTGCAGATGTTATGTATAACGGAGAAATGAATGAAAAGATAAAGTTACTATATAAGCTGCATATCCCACCTGGTAAGAAATTGGAAAGGGAGTGAATACCTCAGTTTACCTCGAAACTCTTGCTTAAAGCTTTTGGGAAAAGGCTGCTTAATGAAGAACCCTGTCTTGCTGCCTTCAGCTGGGAGCATATAGGATTTGCATTTGTAGTTATGCTCCCCGCATTTTAAAATTTACTCCAGTCAAAACCTTTTTGGGTGAAATTTATAGATCTACAATGTCAAGGCTCACATCTGCTGCATTCAGAGATCTTTTGCAGCCGATCGTACGGTTCCTTCTAGACAAAATATTGAACTGGAATAACATTTCTGGATGGCTGGTGCTCGGTGTACAGTAGAAATCTCCTTATCACATCTTGATCCAGTTCTGATTAGGTGACAAAATTCTGTGGTAGTTTCTCTGTGCAAAGTTTTTAATTAGATGTGCCATTCTTGGCAAACTTCCAACTCTCTCACTGCAGCACCAATCTTACTTACATTAACATAATTTTACAGTATGATTTAATGAAGTACTGTTTAAAAACATCTTTGCCCAATTATTTTGCTTTCTTCAAATATGTAAATTTTAAAAGCATAAATAACCATTATGCAGCACTGGAAAGATTAATCATTACATTTTTCACTTTCTTTGGCTAGCTCTCACAGAAAATGAACGAGACAGCCAGTCACCATTAAAGAATCCTTTGCTGTCAACTTCAAGACCACTAGTCATTGGAAAAGCAAATGGTATGTCCAAAATGGTTCTCTAATGTGTGTGCATATGAGATAACCAACTCCATTAATGATCTCCGCTCTGGGTTTTATTGTGAAATGCCGATTTACTCCAGCAACTTGAAAACTAATTCTCCTTTTTGCATCTGCTCCAAAAAAAGGTGATGCAGTAGATTACCAAAAGCAGCTGAAGCAGATGCTGAAGGATCTAGCCAAAGAAAAGGATACTAAAACTGAAAAAGAATTGCCAAAAATGAGCCAGGTATGTATACTAGGGGCTATAGTCTGTTTTTAAAGAAGTGGAGGGTACTCAAAAATGAGATGACTCAATACAACAGTTTGTCTCTTTCTGAAGTGTAACGTAAGCCTGAGCCTAGATTCGCTCCTTTAGATACCAAGGACTGGGCTACTCTGATCCAGGGAGCAGGCATCATGTTTAAAAACTCTCAGCCGCCTTTCTAGCAGCTCCCTCGCTTCAGACTGCCTGGTGAAGAGGAAGAATTTCAGACTGAGTTACCCTCACCTGCAGCGTAACAGGCTGGAAAAAGCCCTCCTGCCAAACCTGGAGAATTCCTGAGAATGCATATTGCTGTTCTGTCTTCCCTGACCTCCTCTCCACCAAACCCGTAAAAATCCCTGGTCCGTCACCGACTGGGACTTGCCCCATCATAGCCGAACACTGACTAGAACTGCATTAAGATAGCTGAAGGCTCTCATCGTCTCACCATCTCCTCCCTAGTGCCAGCAGAGCTTTGTGTATGTTGTTGGGAGGAGGAGATCTACTGGAGGGAAAAGGGTCCCGTATTAGCAAAACAAATGTATGGACACACAGATGGGACTACACCCAGAATCCCTTCTGTGCTGGCGTTGCTGAAGTTTTAAATTGTTGGCATGTACCTGACCTTTCAGCTCAGCAGGGCCACATAATCTCTCATAAAGGCATCACTTGATGGAACTTCTGAGGTCCCTTCCACCCTGAATTACCCATCCTATGACTGTGTGAAGCTTGAGGGCTCACACGTTTCGTAACAGGACATGGAAACGTCCTCTCACAGCCTGATAATCATCTGTGATGGGTGAGCGAGGGAAGGAAGGAGAGAAAGGGGCTGGGCAGGGAAGATGTTAAGATCTTATTATTAGAAGAAAAAGAGCTGGGGAAAGATGGAGAGAAATGGCAGAAGGGAAGCTGCTTGTAAGCCTGTGGATGGGTACTTTGGTTGCAGTTCGTCCTGCGTAACAGCCACCAGTTTTCCACCAGTAACGGATTGTATCCCTTGCGTTGTATATCTCACTTGCCCTTTGGTCATCTGGGAGGGCCTGATCTCCTTCATCAAGGCAGGAAAATGCTTTTCTGCTCTGTTCCCTTTTTGATTTGCAGCACCAAGGTTTCCTAGCATCAGTGGGGGCTCAAATCCCTTGGCTAACATTTTTTTAAAATGCAGGCAGAAGTTATAAATGATCAAGTCTGTAGACAGCATTCTGCCTTCCTTTGCAGTACCGTGCCTTCGCCTAACTCCTAGTTACCCAAAGCATGGCTCTTCAGTGGCTTGATTTTGGTTTTTCCTCCTTTACAGCGGGAGTTCATTCAGTTCTGCAAAACCTTGTACAGCATGTTTCACGAGGATCCAGAGGAGAATGATTTGTATCAAGCCATTGCCACTGTGACCACGCTGTTACTTCAGATTGGAGAAGTAGGACAAAGAAGCATCAGCCTGGGGAGCGGATCGGACGAGTTCACCGAGGACTTGCAGCCCGAGGCCTCCGCGCCAGACCAGGATGCTGTTTTTACTGACACTGTGAAGACCCCTCGCAAAGACTCTCAGCCTTCGCCCGTGACTGAAGGGGACTGGACCGTCTCTTTTGAACATATTCTAGCATCCCTCTTGACGGAACAGTCGCTAGTTAACTTCTTTGAAAAACCCTTAGAACTGAAGCCAAAACTTGAGAATGCAAAGCTAAATCAATATAGTCTCAAAGCAAACGGAGTGAGCTGCCAGTCACGGGGTGAACATACAAAACTAAACACACAGCAGTCATAAATCTGTCAAAAACAAAATGCACTGAAATTATGCCAAAGCACATATTATAAAAGGCTTTCAGTTAGCAGTGGACTTCTGATAAAAAATTTCTTGGTCTGTGGTTTTCAGTTTAAGAGCTTTAAAAGCTAAAGGGTGTGTAGGTTTGTTTTGTGCCTTTGATTTATTAATTATGTTCTTGTTTTGAATGTAAAAGGAAACATCTGTCTACAGCGTGAAGACACTGAAGCCCTCTTCCGCACAGGGAGAGCAGACGCTGGCTCCAGTTGTCCTTTTTGTTTTTTTTGGTTTTTTTTTGTTTTTTTAAACAGGGGAAAACACTTCTCAGCTACTGTCTGCAGTTTGTTTGGGTTGCCTTTTTTGCACTAATACTGAAAACTGTTTCAATGCTGGTAATTGAAACTATTTTAATATATTTGATTGTATTCCAGTTTGTATGTCTTGCTGAAACGTTAAGTGTACATGGACTGTGCTTCTGATGTTGGTCTGTGAAAACATGCACTTTTCAATAAACCCTTTTTGTACTAGACTCGCATTGATAGTATTTATTGATTTATGGAAGGTAAGTGCCTTTAGTCCCTACTTCATTAAACAAACTCCCTGAGCTGGCACACTGACAGTTAATTCACTGGTCAGAACCCCATGTCTCAGTGTAGCGCACAGACTTGCTCGGGAGGAGCCCACTGATTCTGCCCAGGGGACCAGGAGGGGACCACATATGGGCAGTTTACGTTATCCACAAGAGATTACATATGTGAAGTACTGATCTAACAGTTTTAGGAGTTGGGGTTTTTTTTTGGGGGGGGGGGGGGGGGTGTTTTGGTTTTTAAAACAGACTTGGCCTTAACTTAAAACACCTGTGTAGTGGCTCTTTATTCCCACAGGAACAAAACAAGAACACTAGGGCTTTGCCACCCACATAGGAACATTCACATCTTCTCCTTATTCCATTCACATCCAACAGAAGTCTACAGTATCTTTAACTAAGAAAATTACACCATTATGTACAAACCCAAAGAAAGCAAGATACTTAAAGAGTTTGTCACCTGTTCAACTCAGCGCTTCGCGGGTGAGAGCTTGAAGAGACTGGACAATAAAAAAAACCCAACAACTTAGGAGTAAACTTTCTTTTTATCCTTTTATTGTAATGAAAATCAGTTTAATTTTCATCCACATTGACTGTCTGTAGACCTGCAAAACAAGAAATTGTATCACCACCCGCTACTAGGACAATCCCCTTTATGTATATGCAATATATGAATATGCACAAGAAAGCGCACCTACAGTTTCAAAGTAGTTCGCTGATCTGCTTCTGGGAGAGCAAGCTAGATAGGCAAGTACAGTTTGCTATACATATAATTATATAACCAAATTATATAACCACATGGTTTTATATATATATAAATACATAATATATATATTTAATATTATAATAATAACAAATAGAATAATACTATTATATATATTTACTTGGTTATATATAAATAATACTATTATATATGTATACTTGGTTATATATATATTTTATATAACCAAATGTTAAAACAAAAACCTCATGTTAAATCAATTCTGCAAATAAGGTATTTCTCAGATGACAAGCAGAAAAGGCTCAACCCGCTTGAGCTTCTGACATCAGAGGACGTACTTTATACAGGGAAACACAAACCTTAAACTACTGTAAACAACTATAGCCAGTGTTTTTTATTCTCTCAAAATGTACACGATTATTTCACTAAATTCTGTATTTGCTTTTTAATGCTGATCAGGCAAGCTAGCAGCCCTGTTCTCTACAGCAGAGCTAGCTTAAGCCAGCAGTTTGACCCCTTCAGCATGCTTTTCATCGCAATTTTGCACTGCAGGAGGAGCTGTCCTACTTTGCTACTTGTTCAGCAGAACACGGCACGGAGGAAGAGAGACGGCATGCAACCGTACCTTTGAATGTTGTGACTGGTACATAGGTAACCAGCGTGTAAAGCTTGTTTGGTGAATCTTCATCCTCATTGCGCTTTCGGGACAAACGCACACGGATACGGTAAGGAACATTCCTAAAATGAAGACAATGGATTAATTTTCAATAAAATATGTACCGAAACCTGTTAACTCCTAGAGAAGAAAAGTTCTCTGCTCCATGGTTACTACCCCCGCCCCAAATTCTTAAGCTTTGCCTATTTGTGCAAAGACATGATGAGTCAATTCTGTTTCTATCTCAGCATCATAACAAGAGCGAAATCCTGTACCTTAGAGATTATACTGTTTGCCTCAGAGGAGCTTTTTGTTTTGTTTTGTTAAAGTGAGCAGGTAAGATTTAACTGAGCCTTGAATAAGATGAATCCATAACCCAGCGGGAGCATAAAGCCAGAAGTGCACCATCAGTCCACTACTGATCCAGGAAATATGCTATGAAAAAGATCATGAAGCACAGCGTGAACACAATCAGCAAGCAGCTGTTACGAACAAGCGTTTCTTACCTGAACAGAAAATAGTGAGGAAAAAAACCCCCCAACAATCTGTTCTGAAAGCCTGAGGCCCCTGTCAAGAGTCAGAGTACTGCCCAGTCTATTTGCCAGAAGTCATGTGGAAATTCTAGCGAGCATCAGACCTGAACCAAGATCCTGTTTATGGGCATACAATTGATCCGACATTTCTTCCTCACGAAGCCCATGGAACCACAACTAAATTGCTCACAAGATTTTGTTTGTAATAGGCACGTCACAGCTTGCTATCCCCCCCTAATACTGCCCAAAATATGCTGCTGAGGGAAGGCACAAAATTACTTGTCCACACCATTTTTAAAGTACCCTCCCACCTCAAATGAACTCGGGATTTTGGGAAACTCCTGCTCAGAGTACTTTGCTCTATAGAATACAAGAAGGAACTTCCTCCTTGCTGTACGTTCTCAGAGCAGACTTACAAAATCAGATGGATACAATAATTAAGACACAGGAACTTGCTTTGATTTACTCCCTTCTTGAAACAATTCAAAAGCGTTTTTCACTACTTTACTTAGAGCACTGACTATCCCACTAGCTGACATGGTGATTTTAGCCTGATCCTTCCAGAGGAAGATATTTTTCTTGACATACATTATCTATTCTAACTAGCGAGAACTGCAGTTGAACTCAGGCTGGAAAGACAGATGTGATGACTCCCTGCTCTACAGAATGCAATTCTACAAGTTAATCTAAGGAAGTCCTGGTTAGGAGCCTCGCTACTAAGCTCTGAAGTAACGCTGTCACTTGGCTCAATTGCTACTTCTTCACTGCATATGAACTGGAACAGCTCACCAGGAAGGGGAGAGAACCCCTGCCCAGAAGACCCAGGAACTTAGTCCCATCTTCCCACTCCGTTTTTGAAGGAAGAATTGGCCTGAACACACAACTCCAGGTAAAGGATTGTAAACATGTCACAGGCTAGACTCAGGAATCTAATTCCTAGAAGACAAGGTTTAAAACAAGGGTTCAAGCATATCCAGTGTATCACTCACAGTATTAATCTCTACCAGTTAACCTTTTATTATGGTTTAAGAGGTCCCAGTCTTCCCACCCTTTTGACCATCTTCACACACGTCGAACGCTAAATCAGCTGCCTCCGTAGCAGCGATTTAACAGAAGCTGTAATTTTTTGGCCCCCAAACTACTTGTACTTTCAAGACAAGATTAACGGCCCTATTTAAAACACACCTCATTATTTCTTTGTGTAGCATTTATCAATTCAGCCTGTTTCGAAACCTAATCCTGTTCAGACACACGACACAAATCCCAGGTACTTAGCCTGGGACTGTAGGTACCACTAAAAAGCCTAAAAACTGTCTGCTACAATAGGGATTGGGGTACTACAGTATTACCATACCCCAATCCCCGCCCTGTCCCTGCCCCACACCTGCATTCCTTCTTTCCTTTGCTTTATTCTTTAACTAGAGGTAGAACAAAGTTCTTTCAATTCCAGAGTTTACTGAAGCTTTGCTACAAGTACCCTGAGGGAGCTGACCAGAACGTAGAGGTGAGAAAGATCAGCTTGGCAGGCACACTGTAAGAAAGGAAGCATTTGCAAAGAAAATGCAAATACTGCAGAAATTTTTCTATCCCTCCAAGTTGTGCACCTCTACATACAGAGTTAAGAGGTTCTTCCTCCCCAATAAGGAAAGTTGCAGAAACCTACCTTATTCCTTTAGCCCAGACTGCTTTGTTCAATCTGGTGTCAATGCGAACGTCAGGAGTACCCATTTCCTTCATCGCAAATTTACGGATTTCCTTGAGAGCACGCGGTGCTCGTTTCTTGAAGCCCCTAGGACAAACACAAGAGCAATTTCTTTAACTTCAGGAAACTGTCAGCATTGGACACTTGTTGCAGCACTCAACCACTGACCTCTAAACGTACAATTGGAAGAACTGTGATCAACAGTAGTTCAATAGCTGCATCATAGTATGACCAGACCTTTACTCTGGCAGGTAGCTGCTAACCTTAATGTCTATGCCTAATAGAAACCACATATGGTTATGTCGAGTAATTTCAGTGAAATTTTGCAACTGCAAGATCTCCTGGATCTTAAGTCTTATTTGTAACATGTTGACATGAAACTTTTTGCAATATTACTGAAGAGATCAGAGCTTTCACAGATACTCTAAATGAAAGGCCTATGAAAAATGCAGTGCAACAACAGTAATACAAACTTGACACAACTGTTCAGTATTGAAATAAACAGCAGCAGAACAAAACTGATGCTATTCTTGAGTAACAGCTTCTGCTAAACAGTGTTTGATGGTTATTTTCTTCATGTCATCATGACTGGACCACCATCAGAACTGTTTTTTACAAGTACAGCTTGTCTCATCCCTATTACAGACAGTTTCTGCATGACTGGGCATTTACACTGAGTTACAGCTGCATCACGACTGCTTTGCTGTAGGTATTATACTCACACTGTGACATGCGACTGTAGCGTCAGCAGGGTCTAAGGTCCCACAGTGGGTTATATTTAGTATTACTTGCACACTACCATTGATATTTAGTGCTAGAAATCAGGGGTGGGTGAGTGATTACAAGCAAGACAAGCATTAAACAAGAAGTATCTTCCCCCTAGTACTTCATGCCTAAAGAGCAAAGAGGATAAGCCCAAAAGAAAAGAGGAGAGCACCATTGTCATCATTTAGAACAGACTGAATTGCCATAAACAATCAGCAGGCAAGGCCAGAACATCTTACTGCCATTTAAAGGTACCACTGCCTCCCATCCTCACCCACATTTTTGTCATAGTCCACTGCTTCATTTCTCTCCTATTCAAAGTTAACTTCAGCAATTTCACCGATCGTTTCAATTTGGTTATAGTTTTCTTCCACGTGACTGCAGCCATACACACACAGGGAGAATCAAAGGCAGATGCAGTTTCTCAACAAGTCCTCTCAAGCACTTTACTACTACATGGTTGTATGGGGTTCAGCGTTTTGTCAGGTAAAAAGTGACTCTCATCTACACACAATTAATATTGTTTAAGTCAAATCACACATCAATTTACACCTCACACAATTTAGTGATAAGCACGGAGCCAATCATTTGATCACAATATTTAATTTCTAAAACTTACTATAGTGGGCTAAATTTTAAATTTCGCTTGGGAAAGGATGATGACCTGTCCACAGAGGCAAATAGCTCCAACTTCAAATTACGTCCAGGAATACTCACAAAAAAAAAAAACACGAGGTTGTTCCTGAAAACCACCTGCAAGTATAGGTCTGCACAGGTACAGAGCTGCTTCCTCAGGACACAACAACAGCACAAGGCACTAAAACATCACGCATTAGCATCGGTGCCGCTAAGGACTGTCGTTCTCTGCTGTTTAAAACCTACCAAACCCATTTCCAAACCCCACTTTACGTAAGGCCAATTTCACTGATAAAAACCAAGAACTTACACGCCATGGATCCGCTTGTGAATGTTGATGGTATATTCCCTAGTTACCACCTCGTTGATGGCAGAGCGTCCCTTCTTCTTCTCGCCACCTTTCTTTGCAGGAGCCATTTGAGCAATGCTGAAAAGCACCCGTGCAGGCATCAAACGCAGGCCCCACTTCCCTCAGGCTCGTCCCCTGTCCCCTTCCCTGCTCCCAGGAGCCAAACAACTCCCACACTCAGAAACTTATTTAAGATTCACTCATCCCCGGGGTCGCACCAGTTGCAGATTTTAAGCAGCAACTTTTCAGCACCAGAAATGCTTTACTCTCGTCTCCGTGACAGGAGCGTGAAACACATCGGAGGCTCTTCGGTCACCTCCCAAGACGACCGGGCTCCTGGCCAGCCCCAAGCACCCTTAAAACCACCCCGCCCTGCCTCTCCATGTCCAAGCCCCTTCCTTCTTCACGGCGACCCAGGAGGGCAGCTCGGCCCCTCCCGAAGGGAGACCACGGTGCCAGAGAGGCTCCTTCCAGGGACTGACGGCGGCCTGCGGCTTCCCCCTCCCTCACCAAGGCCCAGCACGGGCCGTGACCCCCGCC